TTTTCCTCATCTTTTGTGTAGCAATGATAATAGTATCTGTTTTATGTGTAATACCTATATAATAATAATATTGATCAGTTGTAGTGTGCTAGGCAAGACACAGTTCTATGCATTATACATACATTATCTCTCTTATTTTCCATAAAGCCTTTGCAGTAGAAACTATTTCCTTCCATACATGAGGAAGCATAGATTTCCAGGCACTGTGCTATACAAAATGTATACCAAAATGTAGATCTCCAGAGCACAGTTTTCCAATGAATTATTTAGGGTCTCAGAGTAGGGCCATGATTTAAAGAGTATGTAGTCCATTCTCAACCAGACCTTGAATACTGTGTATAATTTTTAATGGTCTGTATAGGGAGTAAATAATCTCTCACTCTCTTTATAGGGTAGCATATTTCCCCTAGAGAGTAATTAGTTTCTTACCTGCTCCTACCCTAACTTCAAAATGAGCAACAAGTATATTCAAGTCAAGCATCTTTTTAAAGAGTGGGTCAGGGTGGGAGTGGACAGGTAATTTCAAAATATAAGATATAGCTGTGTTATAAAATTGCCTTTTTCTGATATAATTAGTTACACATAATATTCCAAAGTTTGATACAACAGTAGTAATGTTCATTAATAGATAAGCCATATAAGAAATTTAAATATGTGCTTGAACCAATATAAATTATTAATTTCAGTAAAACTTAGAAGATAGTGTCTAATAGAAAGAATAGTTAAGTTTCTTCTTAAAAGAAAAAAATCATGAATTAAGATATATTTCAAAATAATGCTGGCATCTTAATCTAGAAAAATTCTACATATTTGTTCCCAAAATATAGAAACTTATATAACCTCTGTCTAATATTTTTCATAAGGTCTTTGAATATATGGTTTCATTCTATAATTACTTCAAATTAGCCTTTTGTGAAGCCAATTTCTTTTCCCTGTTTCCACATTTCTAAGAAGGGCAATAATTATCTATATCACCTTACTAGGATTTTACAGAAAAAAAAAGAAAAAGTTTGATACAAAAAGACTTTTTATTTAAGAAGTATGTGTGTGTGTGTGTGTATCATATGTATATTTTGTGCACACAGACACACAAACATAAAATTAAATGTCTTTAGTTCAAATTCTATGTAATCAAATTTTTAATTTGAGACTTGACTGTGTTAGGTTTGCTAGGCAAATTAATAACCAAATTCTTAGAGCAATAAAGATTTCTTAACCACTCTTAAGGAGTCTCAAGCACTTTAGTTATTAGAAGTTAATATTAACTTAAAGAAAATTATTTGTAGTGTGATAATGAATCACACTTAAAACTTAGAACCATTTTCTTTCATTTATAAGGATCACTAAAAATGTGCTTGGCTATTTATTTTTATATATCTCATCATCTGTCTTTTAGCAGAAATTTTAAGCAATTCCTGCCATCACCCTGTCATACCCACACAGATCACTCATTCACAAACTAACCTTTTAATTTTGTGGCTTCATCACTTCCTGTGTTATTCTTTACCCCAAGTTAGACACTCCCATAGTTGTATTCTATGTGTATGTCTTCACTCAAAACCATTCTTCTTCCAAATTTACTAACTCAAGCATCTCATACCTTCCTAACCACAGTATTCTCTCCTTTTAACTTGTATTATTGACTTTTCCCTCTATCATCTTCTTTTTTTAACCACTATCCTTTTGCAGTGCACTATCCCCTTTCTGTCCTCTCTTCTTTATTTACCTTAGATTCTATGTCTATAATTTCAACACATTAAAAAACTCCTAAACTTCTTTATTCCACTTGTATTTGGTCACATCTACATGTTATAACCACAGCCACCAGTGAATTTTCTTTTCCATGTGTACACTTAGGCATATCTGTGTTGATGGCAAAAATTATAGCAGGGAAATTTGAACTGATTTCATTCAGACATTCAGCACTGCCCAGTAATCCCAATATATTTCCCTCACCAGTGTTCTTTCTACTCTCTAGAACTCTTGTTAGAGCCCTCCACTACCCTCAAACCTGTATCTTCTGCTGATGAGTTTATATCCTTCCTTGGATGGAGAAGAAAGAAACTATCCAAGTGCCCTTAACTATTTGATACCAAAACCACACTAACACTTGTCCATCCTCTCTTATTACAGAAAACCAGACTACTCTATTTTTAGTCAAGATCACCCTTTCTCATTTCCTTAGTCATTTTGCACTGATATCTCCTTGATTTTATATTTTTCAACTTCTATTCTGATCTTTTTATTCCCAACAGCATTTAAATATTCTCAACTTTCATCTATTAAAAGAAATCCTTTCTTTATTTCACCTTTTTATTCTAGTTACCACGCGTTCAATACTCAACATGGTGTTAATATTTGATTTAAAAATATTTTTGAGTCACCAACTTGAACCGTAAGAAGCAAAAGGCAATTGTAATCTACATAGGAAACTCATTTAGTGAATTGTTTCTCATTTGAAGTTTTAAACCCAAAATTGACTACTTTATAAACAGGAGAAGGTCCGTTCATTTGTCAGGGGATCTGGCAGAATAAAAGGAGACAACTGAAAAGTTTAAGGCCTTTATTTTGAGCTATAAGATGTATATTAGCTGGTAATTTCTTCTTTTCATTTCTGGATGTATGCTGATGTTCCCAAGGAGAGCATTATGCCAATAGTTGGATTTGATTTTATTCATTACATGGTAACAAAACCTGTTATTTTCTATGTTGATTAAAACTTGTTTGATTCTTATTTACAGTGGTCTTTAACTGAAGAGCATTTATTTTTAACAGAATCTATTATCATAGCCTTGACACTCTGGGATGGAGAGAAAAAGAATAATGAGGTTATGTTACTATAAATTAATATTTGTAAAAAAGAATGTATATGTTTTTAAAAAAGAAAAATTAAATACTTTATCCAGGAAAAACACCTTCTCTACAAACATATATATGGTATTACTTCCTATATGAAGTTTATAGTATATTACCACAAAATCTGTCATTTTTGACTATAGATTTTTGTCCTTTAAAGAACATATTTGTTTGAAAGTCATGAACTGACATTCTTAATATTCTGAAGTGAAATAGCTGCTCAATATTGCTCTTAAATTTGTTGACTATGGGAGATAAGAAATTTCATAAAAACTATGAGAAAACAGACAACTTACACAAATTGATAATACAAAGTTATTAGAATGTTAAAATGTGCTTTTTGAGCAATATGTTTTAAACGTGTTCTTATTTATTTTTATAATTTCTCTTACATTTTATATTTTATGATATTTTTGTTGGTTTAAGTTTTGATTTTAAAAAATTATGAATGAAAATCTGAGGAATGTTAATATTTTATTTACTGTGTGCAAATTTAATCAAATTGTTTTATAGAAAAATGATTCCTAAATAGCTGGTAGGCTAAGAAAGATTACTTTGCCTTTGGCAATAACTGGTCCCAAAAGCTTTTGAATATTTTCCTGGAAAGCTCAGAAATTGCCCTTTTACTCAGATCTCATCATAGATTTCACAGGTATGTTGATAAGAAAACCATTTTAAACAGCTAAAAATGATCTATTTTGCTTTTAATTTTATTTCTGTTGCATGTATAATGTGAAAAATATGCCTTAAATTTCTTAGAACATTGTGATGCCAATTTTTATGAACATTTATGTTTTTGTTTACATGAAAATTTAAAGAGCATGTCACAGCTGTTCTGGAGTAAAGGCCAAAAAATATGCGTCTTTCCAGAGTGCCAATTTAATAAAAAATAACACAGTTTCTCTGAATGAATGCCTGTAGAGGAGGCACGTGCAGAGTGTTCCATTACATGTCAATCTTTTCTTTATAATAATTGTGCAATAAAAAAACATACTCTAACTTGCCTAATTTCTGAAATAGGAATTTCTGCTTCATATTTTATGTTGAATATGTTTTATTAGTTGTTTTAATAACAGTTTTATTTTTCTAATAATTAGTCTATTATGCTTATATAGAAATTTAAAAACAATATTCCCATAAATTTTTGTTGAATTATTTAACTTCCATGTTTTTCCAATGCCTCTACTATATCCAGGGAGCAAGTGGGCACTTATAAAGCTACATCTGATTCAATGTTTTTGTGATGACATCTGTAATATTGGTGAACCAATGCAGTTTTTTTCCCTAAAGTCAACATTTATAAACACCTGTTCAAACAAATGTTTCCATCAACAAAGATACAATTTGCACAAACTTAACATTTATTTTGCCAGTTCAAATGGAGGAGAAAGTAATGTGGCAAAGGGAGAAGAATAATAGAATTCTTTTACACTTTCTCATGTTCTGATTACTGGCACATTCATATTTATGAAAATTGTTATTAATATTATACCATGTGTTAGAATAATATGATTATGAACCTAGAACAGACTTTACAAATTTCTTCTTGCCAGGGATTATGTTGAGGAATTTGAAGATCAGAACCTGCTAGTAATTTTGACCAAATATTTTATGAAAACTAGAATCCAGGTTTTCTGAGCCTCAAACTAGTACTTTCCCCACTTCAAGTTGCTGCCTCTGCAGAGGTCTGTTCATTTTATGGAGCCCTAGCAGGAGGGTTATAAGGCTATAAGAAAATCTGACTGTCATTTAATAAGTACTGTTTCTATTTGTAAAATAACACAGAAGTGTCCTAAGGTAAAGAATGTTCTTTACCAAGGTGCCTTAATTTCTTCCTGGAATGTACTAGAGGCTGGGAAAATGTGGCCATGCATGTTTCAGAGTGGCTCAAACTCAAGACACAGACTTATTGGTCAACTATTAGAACTGCCCTCAGCCTGACTATGCTTTTGGACGCAGTGAGTATGTGTGGCATGGTGAAATTTTTTTTTTAAAAAAAGGCACCATGTCTTTCTCCTATCTGAGCTTTCTCACATCTGAAATAATGCTCTTGTTTTATTCCACGGCTTTCTTTAGATTGAAATGTATCCATTAACATTTGTGTGCTTTTCTTTTCCATCCGTCCTTCTCCATCTCATGAAAAGCACATCTGGGTAAGTTGAATCACAATGGCTGCTGAACGTGTTTATTTTCAGCACCATCCTCTTTTTTTGTTTGTTTGTTTTTTATCCTTAGTATTTCTCTTTTCAGTTATAACACAAGCTGCACTGCCTCTGACCTGAAGTGAAAATTGTAAAGTATATTCATTTCCACACAGTAAATGGAATCATTGGTTCAGAGAAATGTTCCCATTCAAATTAATTATGTCAGCCTTTCAGGCACTTCAGTTTCGTTGGTTCTATTAGACACGTCAAAAGATTTTCTGAACTTCATTTCCCCTCGTTCTCAAGTCACTCCTTAGGGGTTGATGTGGCACTCAGTGAGGCTCAACTAATACTTTCAGGCCACTTGTGTACTACTGATTGTGCTGCATGTCTGAATCTGCTTGTGCATTCCCTAGTGCTTGTGATTTTCCACATGCATTTTATTCAAGAGAAAAACATTTTTGTTGACTACTAGAACTGCACTTAGCTGGCAAGGGTTAAGTGCTGGGTCTTCCCATCAGAACTTATTCATAGACAGTCCAAAGTAATCCTTGGTTTTGATTGAATGTGTGTAGTTTCCATTGTTTCCTGTACTACTGGTTGATTTTTAAAGCTTTAAAAATCACTGTTACTCAGATAACAGTTCCAAATTTTAAATTCTGTTCTTTGACCTAAAATTAGAGTATTTCTCTATTCCTAAAACAAATTGGGCTTCAAAGTAAAAAAATAAAACAAAATATGCATAATATCTACAAAATATTTACATTGATAAAATGGCTAGCTTATTAAAACACTTTGAGTTGAGGGGGAGGTATTGCTTTCAAATTTATAGCAACTTTTCTTTTTCATAAATAAAATGACTCCAGTGAGATGCAATTATCCAGGAAGCAATGGAATGTATTACTAGTTTGCTATATAAATATTTTGTATACCAATACAAGGTCATATATTTTATGATATTAAATTGCTCATTAGTATGTTTATATTATTTTTACTATTCTAATTTTAAGTTATAGTTTCCATTACCAAGATTATTTAATAATACAATATTTACTTCATTGAGCATAATTTATTATATTAAGGAAATCTCTAGTAAGATGTTCTTAAAAATACAAGGCAAGCTATGGTTAAAGTACTAGGTCAACAATGGTGGCTCAATGAATGTAGTTAACTCTTACTATTTTAAAATAATAAGTATTCTGGACATTGGATTTTAAAGCATAGTTTTTACTTAACCATTTAAACTTAGTCTTCTGTTTTCTAATGATTTTTAAGTTTTATAAGGAAAATAATTCTAAGAAACAAAACTTAATATACCCATCTGTTGTTGAATGAAATATTGAAAGATAATGAATTAATTCTGCATTCTCATTAATGGACTTTAAGAAACTGATACAATTGCCTTCATTCTAAAACTCAATTTCTTATCTTACTCATGCTCCAGGAATTTAAATATTTTAGGACCTCAAAATAATTTCCCTACTATAATTACTAAAAGCTTAGGGATATAATGTCAGGGGAAGATAATCCAAACATAGTGAAGATGACTTGGGAAGATTTAGGGAGCAAAGAACACAGAATTAGGAATCAGAAGACAGAGGTTAAGTCACATCTTCACTTGTTTGCTGCATATTGATAGATGACTGATATAGTATCTGAATTTACTAATATTATTAATACTATAAACCTCCTGCCCCCACAAAAATATGAAAGAATATGTATAATCTCAGAAGCATGAAAATTATGAACTTCCAAACTAAGTAAAAGAGGACTCAATATTAGATAAAGCACTAAAGCAATCCAGTCTAAATGGTATCCACATAACCTGAACAATTACCATTGTTCTGCATTAAGTCCCCAGTTAATCTCAGGAAGTGACTGGAGAGTATAAAGTTTCGTGCAGAAGTGAAATTGTTTAACGGAAAGTAATACAAGCCCCTCTAGTTTTCAATAACAATGTGAGTAATTGAATTGCTCAATCACATTTGTATGTATGTGTTTGTATGTGTGTGTGTTTATACCTTTTTAATGGTTTTGAAAACTATTAAATTCGAAATAAAGTGAGAAAGGAAATTATGTAAATACTAGCTCAAATTCACATATAAATTAAATTTCTTTCCTGAGACTACACCCTATATTTCAGAGCAGCTGAAAGGAAAAAAGGTTCAAATATGAATGAATTTTTGTTTTAATGCAATCAAATTGTTTTAAATATAAACAACCCAGCATGTGTTAGTGGAATTTAAATAAAACACTACTTGAATGTGTTGTGGATTTTTATACATTTTCACTGAATGTGAAAATATGCAGTAATAGGATACACATAGACACACACTTGCATTTGCACAGTCACTGAATCACAGTATGCTGTGCTTTCAAAATCAAGACAACCTTAATGTTGAATTTGAAAGTCTTAATTTTATGAAGCTAAATACATATATTAAGCTAATCAGTGTTCTGAAGCAGCTGATTGGAATTTGTGACATATTTCTCTTTAGAATAATTATGTTAACTAAGAAATAAATTTTCAGCTTGCAGATGTTAACAGAAAACTGGGTGGCACCATACTTTGTTCACATTTGCTGACCAGAATTTTGACTAGTCTTTCAAATATGTAATTTTGATTTTCACAGAATTTATCAATAAGTATGAATTTCTGAATGGTAGAGTTATAATAAGACATTGCTTAGTTTAAATTTGAGGAGATTGCATCCTATTTACCCTCTTGAATGTTGAATTTTAGTGGAACAAGATACATTTTACAATTAATAATAGCATGAAGATTTCTATGTACATTTCCTGCTAGTATTGTGTAAGGAAGATTTATTCTCTGTGCTACAATGTTAAGAAGTATATTAAATTGTCACATTATTTGACTTATATTTTATTCTTCATTCTTATCAAGCCACATATTTATGTCTTCTTGTTTTATCAATAACTAAGTACTTGTCATGTGCCATAGTAAATCAGTTAGCCCTAAAGATACATTTTTCAACCATAGAATTACTTTGTATATCAATTGCACAAAATCAATTGAAGTGAAACAAAATGCAACAAATTCAACTTTTTGATCTCAATTATATAAATGAGGCTAACCTTCCTCTGGGCAAGATGTAGAACCTGATATTAGTATAGAGTAACAAGAAAAGAAAAACCATGCCTCCTTCGTTCTCTCAATGCTGAGGGTTGAAATGTGTGACAGTAAGGGGGTTAAGACCTTGTATATTAACCAGCAAGTCAAATAAATGTATGTCACTTCTAAAAGTAAATGAATTATACAACAAGAAAGAAAGATGGGCGATTATCATTTTATTTTGTACTCCCAATGAGGAAATTATCCTCCTTATTCAGTTCTGAAAATTTTCAGAGCGGTTAATTAGCTAAAGTATAGACGGAGAGTTAAGGGAGCTGACTCTGTGGCCCAATTTGGGGGAGTTCAAATTCTGGCTCTGCCATTCGATGGCTCCTTGACTCCAAGTGGCCTCTATTCTTCAGTGTCATCACCTGCTAATATGTGTCAATATGTATTTTACTGAATTATTATAAAGATTAAATCAGTTAAGACATATAAAGAAATTAGGATAGTGCTTCACACATAGTAAGTGATAAATGCACACTAGCTATTATTTTGTGGAATCCAAGGCCTAATTTTGCTACATCTAGAAACTTTACTCTTTCAAACCTCTATATTCTTTGTCATAAGAATATGAAGCGGTTCATATGAACAAAAGAGCACATTAGAGAAATCTCTATTATAGCACTGTATTAAAGTGTAATACAGGCCGGGCGCGGTGGCTCACGCCTGTAATCCTAGCTCTCTGGGAGGCCGAGGTGGGCAGATTGCTCAAGGTCAGGAGTTCAAAACCAGCCTGAGCAAGAGCGAGACCCCGTCTCTACTATAAATAGAAAGAAATTAATTGGCCAACTGATATGTATATAAAAAAAATTAGCCGGGCATGGTGGCGCATGCCTGTAGTCCCAGCTACTCGGGAGGCTGAGGCAGAAGGATCGCTGGAGCCCAGGAGTGTGAGGTTGCTGTGAGCTAGGCTGACGCCACGGCACTCACTCTAGCCTGGACAACAAAGCGAGACTCTGTCTCAAAAAATAAAAATAAAAAAATAAAGTGTAATACAATTCATTTAAGTATATTTAAATGAAATTTTAAATTTTAAATGAATAACCAGAGTATATATGATTGTGGTATTTGCACAGAAGAGAAAATTAATTCTGCCTAGGAGATGTCTTGGAATCTTTATCAAAAGAATAAAGCATGAATTATGTCTGAAGGATAAGTTCAAGTTGTTATGATTATAATGCCAAAAAAAAAAAATTGTTCCTGGCAGGAGAAAAAGGCATACAGAAAGTAATGGAGGGATAAAATAGAATAAGATATTTGAGGAATGGCAAATATTTCAGTGTTGATTGAGCAGAAGATTCTGGGAGACAGGTAGGAGCCTGATCACTAAGGGTATTTTTAGAAGATATTTGACCTTTATTTTGAAGATAATGGGGAGGCTTTTAAAAAGCAGGGAAATCTGGGACAAAGATCTGTGAGGAAAGTCTCACTGGAGGTTGGATAGAAGATGGGAAGTGAGAAGGTGCCAAACAAGAGACAGAGTGACTATGGTAGCTCGTCAGCATTAACTACAAATGGTGAGAGTTTGGACAAAAGCTTTGGCAATACTCAATCAGTTTGCACAATGTATTTCTGCATGTTAGAAATGGCATTTTATCTCTGGCAGATATCTGATATGCAGAATTCTTGTTCCTTTTTAAGATGCAATAAGCAATTGGGGGTCAACAAAAACAGAATACTTAATAATCACCCTATAATCAAGGGTCCTACATGGTTGTCAACACTGTGAAACTTTGGATTAGGGTATAGCAATAATTCAAAAAATATTCTTGGCTAGAACATCTGAAGAAAAAATTTCATGGTATGGTGGAAGAGCAAACTCTGGGTAAAATCTGCAGGACTTTACTGTCATGGATAGAGATGAGGCCCCAGG